TATATAATATACCAAGCCAAATCAACCCAATATATCAAATATGAGGGGTCAGGAATTGTTTAATTGACAGTTGGGAATAGCTTCAATTGTTTGGTATATTTGTTAGTAGGTTTGATAGATTGGCTTTGGCGGCAGCGCTGCCTCTACCTCTAGCCACCGGAACTGAGATGAAATAATGTCGAGAATTATTTTTCTGTAATTGACGCTTTCTCCCCTGAGCTCACTCAACTTCAACGGCTGTGATAAGGAAGAGTATCGAGCTCGGGGTAGGTAGCTTCGGCGATCTTGGACTTGCAGTTTGTTGAACAAATTTCTTCCTTTTATGAAAAGATCTAGGCTAGTATGACACCGTCGTCATCTAATCCATTCACAGTCAAAGCTGCCTTTAAAACCGTTTGCCTCCCTTTTTATGTACATGTCGCTGTTCATACAAAATATCATGAATACCATCATCAAATAGTCTACAGGTTGCTTCGGATGGGCGTCTCCTTGGCGCAGCATCCAGAGGTCAGCTTGGATCCAATGTCCTTGTCTGAAGGCACATCAAGAGCCGGGTTTCCGGTGAAGAAGTCGGACGGCGTGATATGCAATTGCAGCATCTCAACGGGCCTATTGATTGATTAGTTTCAGTCATCAATGCGAACCAGACAAGTTGTATCACTTACATGACGGGCCAGTCCTCAATACGAGGGTTGTGTGTCAAACCAAAGACGCTCCAGAGGACAACATCCTGGTTCAGCACATCCTCGTTCCTGTCCGCGGCGTCTTTGACACCGCCGACCTCCAGCTTGCTCTGCAGGGTGTAGCGGCCGCCAGCGAACAGCTCGTGGTCCTTGTACTTAGTGACCCACAGGTGGTGGCGGGCAAACAGCGCACGCTTGGACTGAACACTGTTGGGGTCGGCGAGCAGCAGCTGCGTCGCCGGCGGCGTGATCTTGTAGCCGACAGGCTTGCCCGTGATAGGGTTAGGCTTGCTGAGGTTCTGGATCTTGAAGACGCGGTTGTTCATCGGCGCCGCGTCGAAGCCCGCCGAGGTCGTGACCTGCGTCTGCCTGACCTCGTAGAGGTTGCCGTTGGGGTTCGTCCGCGAGTCCATGCGCAGCGGCAGGCTCTCCTCCTGCACGACGGTGTTCTCGTTGCCGTCGATGGAGGGGTCGATGCGCACGCAGAAGACGTGCTGGTGGTTCTGCGCGAGGGCGCCGGGGCTGACGACGTTGCCCCACGGGCTGGTCTTGCCGGGGTCGATGTTGACGACGGAGACGATGCCGGTGGCGCGGGCCTCGACGACGATGCCGGCGGCCTGGTCGAACTTGAAGTTGAAGATGTACTCGTAGTTGGCGAGGGTGATGATGAACTGGATGACCAGCTCGCGGCGGCGAGTGACCACGGCGCGGCCGGTGCGCCAGTTGGTGTGCTTCCAGTTGATGCCGTTGTCCTGCTCGTGGAGGCAGATGACGTTCTTGGACTCGACGGCCGCACCCTTGCCGTCGATGAGAACACCATCGAAGTACTGTTGCTCATGTCAGTATACGAGTCATGAGTTAGTTTGTTGCCACGGACCTTGATGACACCCAAGCAATCACAGCCCAGAGTCAGGTTGTTAACAGCGTTACCCAAACCACCATCACCGAAGTCGAAAGCCTGCTTGCGGTGGAACGGCGGGCGAGGATCAGCGTAGGGCACAGTCTGGCTCCAATGTTAGCGCACACCCCAACAAACAGGTCAGTCTTAATGGGATGAACCCACCATATCACTCATGCTAAGACGGTACATGACCGGTCTGCCATCGTATCGCACATCGTGGACGACAGCACCCTCACGGGGGTTGAAGGTAACGCGCATGCGCCACTTCTGCCACTCAATCAAGTTGCCATCGGTGATGGAGAAACTGGGGCCCTCAGGCTGCTGCACCGTCAAGGGCTTGAGATCCTTCCGCGTGCCGTTCGGCAGTAGCTCAGGCACGTACTCGCTCTCCTGGCAGTGGTCGATGATCGTGGGGGCGTGTGTCCTCCCGGACAGGGCATCGCCCTTACCACCAGTAGCAAGCTCGTCGATGCGCACGATCTCCTTCTTGTGCGCATCCATGACAGGGATCAAAGGCAGGGGGTAGGCGTAGAAGTTGGAGTCCGGGTTTCCACTTCTTGTGTCCCGGGCGAAAATGAGAGCCTGGAAGAAACGGTTGTCGCCATCTGCGGCGTCAGGGGCGCCGTAGGGCCACGGCTCGACGACGACCTCGAAGCCCTCTGGCAGCTTGAGCTCAGCGATCTTCTCCTTGAATAAGGGGGAGCGCTGGACGGCATCAGCCAGGACCTCGAACTCGTAGCTTTTTTGGTGACAGGCGCGTTAGCGTTGCATTCATCTCGCAGAACCCGCGTGGGGGGTTGGAGATTCGTGGCTGGGAACGTACATGGTCAAACTCGCTTGGTGCTCGGAACCGATAAGCTTCTGATCAACAATCTTCCTGAGACCCAGGTCCACGATGGACTCGAAGTACTGGGCCTTGGTCGCGCCACCAATGACATCGTAGAATACCTGGGCGCATCTCGCCGGTCTCGGTGATGATGCTGTGAGTTTGCCTGAGTGCTCGAGGTCCAGGAACTTGAGGACCTCAGCCTTTGGTGGTTCCCACAGGTAGTTCTGTCTGAAATCGAGGACGGAGCCGGGGTGCGCAGCGAGCACAATGTCTCGGGCCTTATTGGTCTCCTCCAGAGACAGGGCCGACAAGGGGTGCGGAATAGCTGCCATTATGGGAGGTGTGTATGTGACTCGGAACTAGGTTGCAGAGGCTGTGGGCGTCCGAAGATGGTTGTTCAGGGTTCGTTTTCGAGACTGAGCAAGATTGCGTTCTTATGAAGAAACCAGCAACGCTCGGAATGAATCTCTAACCAACTGTGTCCTTTGATGTCTTAGGTACTGAAACACCAGACTGACCTTCCGCACGTTCGAGCCATTAAATGGTCCACGAGTTCTGGTTGGCTCAGTAGTCGGAAGGTCTTCCGAGAGAGGCGCCCGGAACTGATCGGAAACCGCGGAACAGCTCCGAGTCAAGGCGCAGCGCCCACGTAGTCTTCTTATCTTCAACCCCGGCCAAGATAAGGCCATTATAAAAGTTAGTTGCTCAAAGATCGAGACACTATGGGATTCTGGGAAGCTCTTGTGATTGGCCAGCGATTATTGAACCGCAGTTGATTGGGCCTCCCACTGAAGATAAGATGCCGGACGCCTTGCAGTGGTGCCGCCGTCTGGGTATCGTCTCCATTTTGGTGAATCTCGCAGGTTTGGAAATCTGGATTTGCTCGGTGATAAGATCAAAGAGGAGTTTGAGTAGGTCATGGAGATACATAACAAAAGACGTGTGCCCGACAAACCCCGGGATTGAGTCGGTAGATCGTACGACTGTAAGGCGACAATTCGAAATCGCTAGTCAAATTTTGCTTCAGTCTTGTTGTTTTTTTTGCTTGTTTTGTGAAATAATGGAAACCGACATGAAGAAAGATACGGTGACCCTTGGCAAAGTCGACTCTCAGAGCCAAAATGAGCCCATCTTCACCGGCGACGACTTGCGACTTGCTCAACTCGGACACGCCCAGGAATTGAATCGACAATTCTCCCTGCTTACACTGGGTGCACTATGTGTGTGTCTTATGGCAACATGGGAGGCTCTGTCGAGTGTTGTTGCGCCGGCTCTTGTCAGCGGCGGCGCCCCTTGTTTGTTCTATAACTTGTGAGTTGATGATGCTTCTTCAGTTGGACCACAGCGGAAGGCTAATAAGTTGTGAAGGATACTTTCAACAATTTGCACTGTATGCATCGCATCGTCGCTGGGAGAAATTGCATCCATATATCCAACTGCAGGAGGTAAGAGTTGCTGGTTGACACATCACTAAAGAGATCCCTTACACTGAGTTGACGCTGACAACATTGCCTCGCAGGTCAATACCACTGGGTTGCGGCGTTGTGCCCGCCCTCGACTCGATCGGTCGCGGCGTTTACAACCGGTTGGATCTCTGTGGGGGGCCAGGTGGTTCTTACCTCTTCCGCCGCCTTCGCGGCTGGTCTTCAAGTGCAGTCTCTCATCATCTTGAACGACGACTCATATATCCCAGCCAGGTGGCAGGGTATGTTGTTCTATTGGGCAATCCTTGTGTATGCATTGGCCATGAACATTTGGGGACATAGACTTCTGCCCACGGCCAACCTTGTGTCCGGTAAGGCTCTTTGACATTGTCAGCCTTTCGTTGTGGAAACTCGTACTAACACAGATTTATTATCAGGCTTTCTCCATGGGGCTGGCTTTCTGGCCATTCTTATTGTTCTCGGTGTCATGGCCCCGAAGAACACCGCGTCCTTCGTCTTTAAGGAAGTCACTAACTCCAGTGGCTGGGAAAGCGACGGAATCTCTTGGCTCGTCGGGTTGATTAGCGCCGTCTACCCGTTCTTGGGGTAAGTAGGCAACTGTCCATAATGCAAGACTAGACTGACACCACAAAGCTACGATGCCGCATGCCATTTGGCCGAGGAGTTGCCCAACGCGAGTCGCGACGTTCCAATTGCAATGGTCGGAAGTGTCATCGTCAACGGCGTAATGGGCCTCATCTACGGCACCGTCTTGCTCTTCTCCACTGGCCCCCTCGACGCCCTCCTCTCGACCCCGACCGGATACCCCTTCATGCAAATCTTCCTCGATGTCACCAAGTCCCACGGCGGCGCGACATTCATGTCCTTGATCATCATTATGACTGCTATCGCCGCCACGGTCGCGGGTATTACATCGACCTCACGCACGCTCTGGGCCTTTGCCCGTGACAGAGCCACCCCATACGACCAGTACCTGAGCAAGGTCAACAAACACTCACAGATCCCGATCTACTCCGTTGTGCTCGTGACCATCCTCCAGATGCTCCTTGGCTTCATCTACATCGGCAACACGACAGCCTTCAACGCCATTCTGTCCATGGCCATCATCGGAATGTACTCAAGCTACATCGTCCCCATCGCGTACATGCTGTTCGGCCGCAAGAACATCAAGCACTCAGACTTTGGTCCCTTCAAGCTCGGCCCCACCGTGGGCCCCGTATTGAACGTGATCAGTTTGATCTGGATGGTCGTGGTCATCATCTTCAGCACGTTCCCGTCGGCGATGCCAGTGACGCCGCAGAACATGAACTACTCGATCGTTGTGATGGCTGGGTGGCTCCTGTTTGGTATCATCTATTACATCTCATACGGCAGCAAGAAGTTTGAGGTGCCGGTGGTGGATAGTAACGTGGTAACAGGCATTTCTGTCCCTGCAGATATCAGCGTCTAAGGGGCGAAAACGCGAGGATAGGGGGAGGACATTGACAAGTATTGGTTAGATTGTAACATGAAAAGTTTTCGCTTGGCTGCAATTCAAGTCCCCATACTCGCACTAATGTGTTTTGTGATGGAAATTGGGGCTACGCATTGTTATGGTTGGACTGGTCACCGTGCTGAATTAAATCAATCCCTGAAAACGTCGCGAAATCTCCTCCGGATCCCCTAGCGACATGCCTTGCTCATTGACCCCAAAGAACCCCACCGGAAAATCAGGCGGCGCCGGGTGACCACCATTGGCATGACCAAAGGCGTCGAAAAGATTCATCAGATCATTCCCCATGTTGAACATGTCGGGAATCGAGCTGTTCGCCTGCGGACTTGTGTCCCAAGCATCCCATGCGCTGTTCTCCGGCCTCCTTCCGTCCCGTTCACCCGGACCCGGGTTTTGGTGTGGGTCATCCGGTCGGGATTCGGCCGCGTTCTGTTCCGCGTCCTCCCCTGCTTGGGGCGCATCTGCCTTTTCGGGATCACTTCGAAGACCGAGAGATTTGACACCTGGAAGCAAACCTCGAATGGTCTTCCAAAGCCTGCGGCTTGCGTGCCCATGTCGTGAGAATCCCTTGACTAGCTGCACTGCTTTCAGGAAGCTCTCCTTACAGGGCTCAGTAAACACACCCGGTGCGTGACATACAGCGAGCAGGATCACGGCTAGTGCGCTCATCAGGAAATAGTTGAAAGCGTGCTGCTGTCGTGCATAGATATCGCTAGTATCGTTGAGGTGCGTCAATACTTGTATGGTATCCAGTGCGATCTCCGTGACTAGTTTAGCACTCTGTATGTCGGCCCTGATGCTTGCAGTGCTAAGGACATGATGCCGGTGGATGAGCGTTCGCATGTGATTTCCACGTAGGTAGAGTAATGAACGAAGGCGATGCATGCTTCTCGGCTGAGTCCGGGGTGCGAGTCCAAGCCTAGGATGCCGAATGCGGAGGTCGTCCGGGATGGAGTTGAGCCAGTTCTGCGTCATGAAGTCCAAGAAGGCGACAGTGTCCTTGGGTATGAATTGTGATGGCGACTCAAAGGGCGGCAGTGCCTCCCATACTTTGGAGCAAAGCCTGCCGTAGGACACCATGCACCTCAAGTAGGGGTAGTTCTCTCCCTGGAACGACCGTCAGTCGGTGTTGCTGTCCGAAGGAAGTTGATGGCGAAGAACTTACCGGCTCGGGTAACTCCGGATCTATGTCCCTGTCGATGAGGCCGAAAGACAGACTTGTCCCGAAGCTCCAGCGGCGATCCAAGACGTAGACGCACCAGAAGCATCGTACGGCGAGATCTCGCTGCCTGGGATCTTTGAAATTGTCCAGGAGAATCGCTCGTCGATGGAGGCCAATCTCGAGGCATTCTCTGCCGGAAATGCCGATAGCCCTCCATGCTAGAAGCTCCTCACCACAGTGGAACCAGTAAAGGCTCTGACACGATGTCAGCGTGGGCACTCAGCGGGTAAGCTGTTCGTCCGAGGAAAGATGCTCACCAGCATAGTCATGATCTGCAGTTCCTTCAAGTCGATGAATGCTTCACCCGAGACTCGACACACAACGGGCTCGACGGAGTCAATCAACTTCGTGCTTATGGGATTTTGCCCCTGAGCCTCCATTACTATCGATATAGCAATCGCGACCTTGGCAAGCTGGACATCCTTCTCCTCGATCTTTGGTCGCTCCTCTTCTGGGACATTTGGGTCCGCCGGTGGATTCTGTAGGTGTCGAGCGTAATAGAGTATGTGTGGTAGATTCGCTGAGACATCTTTGATATTGGTGAAGGGGTAGACTGACTCCATTTCCTCTGAGTAAACGTCAAGCAGACGAAGGATTTCATCAAATTCTAATGTCAATAGGCAGTCCAAATCTTTGTGAGATGACGCTATCTGGTCTTCGGATATGACGGAAGGTGCTCGCTGGGATGCAGCCGGCGAAGCAGATCGGCTCGTCGGTTCCTCATCGCCGGTTTGAATTCGCATGCGGGTGAGCGACGTCTCAGCGATGCGAAGGCTAAACGCCGATCTCGTTGGTCCGACAAACTGAGGTTCCCTCGGCTCACTCGGGCGACGATTCGACTCACTCGCGTAGAGAGGGCTAGGATGCTGTGGACCACCGAGAGCAGCTGGCGAGCGAGTGTTGATATGAGCAACTTTGCCATTGAGCTCGCGAAGAGAGGATGTCAAGCTGGCGACCTGTTCTCGAAGGGCGGCCACCTCGTCGCTGAGATTCTTGTACTGGGAGCTGTAGTCTTGTCAGCTGAAGTGAGATGAACGCGATGACGGTGACGTACGGATGTTGTTCCTCCCTCTCATGAGTAGCATCCCGGTCTTTATCTTTTAGAGGCGTCTGCTGAGGCCCGGGGATGAAGACGCACTCGGCGCCGTTGGAAAGGCACCGCCGGCATACGGTCTGATGGTCCTCCTTGATGCACTTCAGCTTCCGCTTCTTGCACTCATTGCTAAGCGATCATCGTCTTAGAAACTCGACTCAAATCATCACGAGCATCCAGTGGCTTACCAAGCGACAGGCGTGTACTTCGCCCGCTTGCTGCGCTGGCCTTCGCCGGTCGCGGGCGCGGCGCGCTTCTGCACTGGAGCGGATCCGGCGCGGGTCGACTGCGGTGTCGCGGCCTCTGCCGGCACCGCATCAGCCTCTGGGCCCATAACGTCCAATCGTTCGGCCGGTCGCCAATCGAGACCCGGCGCCGGAGGGATATGGAGCACTGCGGAACGTGTCGTTGACGGTTCGGAATCGAGGGTGAGGATGCGGCTCGGCGTGAAAAGAGGAGTTCCGAGACGCGGTGGCTGTTCCGGCCAAACCGCACACGCTACGCCCTTATCCTGACGCTAATCGGCCCCCAAAACATGGTGGGTCCTGAATGAAGAAGTCTTGGCTCAGCAACACAATTAACCAGGGGTATCTTATCTGACAACAACGTCTGTTCACAATTGTTGTGACGTCAACATGAGTTGCGAGTCATGCACAGATCGCTTCAAAACGAATGAAATAACATTCATGGTGGCCTTCTCTCCAGACGATAAATCTAAGTGTGATCCTTCTCTTCGAAGTTCCTATTGCTCAACATCATCTTCAGCATTATTTCTCAGTTAGGTTTTACTGACTTCGGCGGCGGAGTGAGCAACCTGTGCAAGACTCTCAACAGCAAGTGGACTACTGAACTAGCTTAACATCATAGCAGCTTGAAATTCGCACGAGAATGCTATTTATATAGACTTTTGATATTTGGGTGGATATGTAATATGGGATAATAGCGGTAACAAGTACGAAGATAGCGAAGACAAAGGCGATGATAACGACGAAGACGACGACGGCGGTGGCGGCGGCGGGCGGCGGCGATGACGCTGACAATAACGATAGCAATTATAGAGATTCATTGACAGTCTTTTGAGATTTGCATATGGTCATCAACATAAGTAACCTATTTAGAATGCGGTTGGCAGGAAGTGGCCCAAGCGAGTAGAGAAGAGACGCCCTAATGCGTTTGTTCATTTGAGTCGAATACCTATGGTTCGGTGCTACTGGTTGTAGTCCGTTTCTAGGGGATAAGCATACTCATTGTACTTCAGCATTCGAGAAAGACTAGACATGTAGTAGTTTTTTCATGCTTCCTGATCACACCAGTAGACATTAAATCCATCCGTGTCATGCCTCAGATTATATGAGTCCGGATCCAACGCTTGATACCAACACTCACCAACCTCTACGTAAAATGGCAGTGCTATTTCCCGCTCGCATATCGTGATCTCGCAGTGTTTCCGGTCAAATGAACAGCGGCCGCGAAAACATTTCATCTGAAACCGATAGCTGTTCTGTTGCTGATTGAGATTTCTCAGATGCTCCATGCCGCCCCACCAGTTCAAAGAGCCGTTCTCTTCAGTCTCTACCAGGCTTTGGTCTGCATCAGTGGCGCGACAATTCGATTCGACGGTGCCTTTCGTATTCGATTCGAGAAGGTTGGGAGTGCCAAACAATTTCCCAACTCGGGTCATAAGTTGGCGAAAGAAATTGTGTTTCGGCCCGCTGTGAGCTTGGGTTGCAGGTTGCTCGGGCTCTGACGCAGAAAAGGGCTCCTGTTCAGGTCCACAAAGATGTCGTTGCCATGAGAGAATCAAGAACTGCTCTTCCCCCCGAAGCCAATTTCCCACCAGCATGGCCCGGGCGTAGTTTGCATTTTCATCGTGGCTTCCAGCAACGCCACCATTGGGCGTGGTGTGACTGGGGTGTAAGCACTGAGCGAGCACGCTATACTCCCTTCCCTTTGTATTCAATAGGTCCTTTTGCGTGACAACTTTGTGCTCGCAAAGCCTCACATATCCTTCATGCGCAATACAATGCGGAAAAGAAGATTCAGGAAGATGTCGCTGGCGCATGGAAAACAGACAAGCAGGATGCCGCTTCAGACACCGATAACACTTCTTGAGACGTTTCGTCCGGTGCATCCTGTGTGACCAATCTTTTGATTGTCGAGCTCGGCGGCATCCCAAACAAAACATGTCTTTTTGTAGTAGGCCCTCCAGCAGACCATTGCTTCTGATAGCTGGCCAACCTATAGGTTGAAGGCCTAGACTAGGTCCGCCGGCCCCGCCCACCCAGCCGACGTAATGATCCGGGAAGACTTCTGGGCAGAGTCTGAAGAAGAGCCGAGCCGTTCTCCGTAGACATTCTACACTGCAGCCGTCGAGATAAGCGATGATCTGTATGAGGTTGCCTTCGCATAAACGGTGCAGAATACATTGCGCGTAATTTTGCCTTTCATTGCCGTCCTGGATGTCTTGTGGAAGCCGATTGTAAGTGCGTGCTAATTTGGTAGGCAGTCGGGGACGGTACGGCTTATCAGCGTGCCCTGTGAACGCTTCTTGCGCTGAGTCGAAAGTTTGTGTCATTTTTCTGCAACAGAAATGATAACTCGTCCCACGGTGTGAAACTTTGACGCGGTCCGCGTGGAATTATCAAATTGGAGTGGTACGGCTCTTATTTATAGGTGGAAGCAACTCAGAAGACAACAAGGTCAGCCATCGCTTTCAAACTTTTTACAGTGTACTAAAATTTCAAAGGCGGACCTGTCCGGCCAGGAAGTAGCTGATTCAACAAATACACTCTCAGGATGCATACCTCTCAGTGCTCCTCTGGCTGCGGGCCTTCATAACTGTCTCTGTCCAATTCATATGGTGGACAGTAAGGCGTGACCATACGCAGTGACCTGCTGTGCGAAAGTAGAAATCAGACGTCAGCAGGAAGAAAGAAACTCCATCATCTAATCGTATAACGTGACGTGCTCAACAAAGATTTATGTGGCAACATTAATTGATTTTGAATACTAAGAATTCAGACTACGATGGCAAGAATGCCGGTATTGGGGGCTGAAATAATGAGAGGCGCTCAGGGACGATAACGGCGGACAATGATGATCACGACGGACAATAGTGATGATAAGTATGGATGGAAGACGACAAAGATGGAAAACGATGATGACGGCGACGATAGCGACAATAGTAAGCACGCAGAGGAATGTCTTTCTCTGGCACAAGAAAGATGGGGGTCTCCAAGCAAATTCTTTAATTTGTTTCCTCGTCAAAAAGGGAAAGACAGGGGGGTACCGTATATTGTTAAAAATAACAAATCAGAGTCCTTCTAAAAATAAGAGTCTGACTTGATCACATTAGTTTGCTATTCAGCTAAAAGGCTAACTGGCGACTATCGCTGTTATTGTTTTCGTCGTCATCGGTATCGTTACTGTCGTCGTCGTCGTCGTTATCGTTACTGTCGTCGTCGTCGTCGTTATCGTTACTGTCGTCGTCGTCGTCATCGTCGTCGTCGTAGCTGTCATCATTGTCGTTCTCGTTGTTCTTATCATTATTATTATGATTATTATCGTTGTCAGCATTGTTGTTGTTATCGTCGTTGTCATCCGTTGTTATCGTCCGTGTCGTTGTTATCTCTAATTTTGATTCCTTCTACTATCATGCCGAACTGGAGTCACTCAGTATACAGGAAGCATAGTCGCGGAGACATATGTAAATCAATCAATTGCTTCGTCAGTTATTCTTTCCATAGGTGCTGTTAGGCAATACCACCCAATATTTAACTAACCCCTAGCCCTGATCTTATACCAACTTTCCATACGCTCCTCCACCTGGACTCTCTGAGATCATTATGTCAGCATCGCAAATGAAAAGATTAGGGATATGAATGCACTTACTTATGATGATGTGGTCGCCCTTACGCATCTGACATGTGTTTTTGCCTCCCAGATTAATCTCTCGGAGCCCATATTCGTCCTTCCTGATCCAGAGGTTCTCGCCAGGTGTACCTGGCTCCCCTCCGCAGAGCCCAAATGGAGGCACAGAACGTCTTTCACTTAGAACGCTGACTTGCACATCGCGGCGGAACTCGATATGACGAATGCATCCATCTCCGCCCGAAAACTTACCTTGGCCACCGGAGCCTTTCCGAATACCGAACTCGTGTAAGATACAAGGATAGCGTCGCTCTAGAGACTCGGGATCAGTGATTCGAGTATTAGTCATGTGAACGTGAACACCAGACTGGCCAGCCCACGTCGGACCCGCGCCAGCGCCGCCTGCGATTGTCTAGAAAATGGTCAGAGAACTGTTCGGTGGCAAAGCTTCAACCAACGCACCTCGTAATAACCGAAACCTGGTCTCGCCTTGCCATCAATGACTTCACCCCCGTACCCAAATGTCAGGTTATTGCACGTTCCCTGGCTGGCCGCGGCCGCCTGGAACGCCCTGAGCACAAGATCTGTAACTCTCTGCGATGTCTCGACGTTGCCTCCCACAGTTGCTGCCCCTAGAGAGGGCGAGAGAATAGTGCCTGCTGGGAGAACCACATTGATTGGTGCAAGGCATCCCTGATTGAGAGGGATGTCTTCTTTCACGAGTGACCTCAGGACGTAGATGATTGCACTGAAGGTGATGGCTCGTGGGGCATTGAGGTTGCCATACAGCTCTCGACTGGTACCGGTGAAATCAAATTTGGCGGACCCCTCATCACGATTGATGTGTATCTTCAGCACCAGCTTCGATCCATCGTCCATCTGATCTTCTGCTTCCAGCGGTAGACCGCTAAACTGGTCATGAACCTGTCGTAGAAGATTTCTCACGACCTTCTCAGCGTTGTCTTGGATCCCAAGCATGTATTTCTGAACGCTCGTTAGTCTTCAGACTCCGTATAGAACATTAGTGCTAATTGAACTTACTTGTACCGTAGAAAGACCGTACTCCTTGATTGACTCATGGATCAATCGAATGCCCTTCTGGTTCGCGGCAATCTGAGCCTTCAAATCGCTAACGTTGTCACTCCATGTTCTCGTCCCGGAAGAGCCAGGGTAGGAGGCAGGCTTCTTCAACATGATCTCCGCCAGCCCCTCCTCATCGAACTTGCCGTTATTGACAAGCTTAAACGAGGTAAAAGACGCCCCTTCCTGCCAGATTTCCTTGGAGTGTGGCGGCATCGATCCTGCCGCAATACCGCCAATATCCGCGTGATGGGCTCTCGACGCTGTCCAAAAAAGAACTTCGTTGGTGTGTTCGTCAATCACAGGAGAAATGACTGTGACATCGGGAAGATGTGAACCGCCAGCGGCAGGATGGTTCGAAACCAGGACGTCGCCAGGGCGAAGGGTGTTGCCCCGTCTTTCGGCTTGGTAGGCCACGGCATAGCTCATCGCGCCAAGGTGGCACGGAATGTGCGGTGCGTTCGCGACAAGGCCACCTTGAGGGGAAAAGATCGCGCATGAGTAGTCAAGGCGCTCTTTGATGTTGATAGAAACCGACGTGAGTTGGAGCGAACGCCCCATTTGCTCCGCTATGCTCATGAAGCGGTGACCAAAAACGGAGAGCTGGATCGGATCCACTACATCAGGGTCCTCTGAGGCCGTATCCTTGAGGGGCGTTTCTTCCCGGTCGAGCAAAAGATGCCTCGGAAGTACAGTAGCTGCCCATCCTGGCTGTATGAGAATAGTCTGCGTTTGATCGAGAATAATGGAAGGACCCGGCACCTTGTCCCCTGCCGCAAGATCTTCCAGCTTGAACAAATTCACCTCATGCCACTGGTTCTGACTGTAGACCCTCGTCATCTTCGCACTCTTCTTCGGTGGCGCCAACCTGATGTCAACGGCTTTGAGTGCAGAAGAAACACTCCTGTTTTCCGTTCCTGCAGTCTTGCCAAGGGCGCGGACTCGGATATCCTCGACAAGGATCTCGCGGTCGAGCACAAATCCAAACTCTTCCTCGTGGTGTTCAATAAACTTCCGGGAAAAGTCCCAAGAGTCGATAGGCTTCTGGATCATGAGAGAGCTGTTTGTGCCTTGATACCGGAGGTTGAGGTACAGCTCATACTCGATTTGTTGGTCTGTGAAGCCTTGGGCGGCGAGTGTCTCGCCAGCTTCTGCAGTCAGAGACCCAAACTCGTTGGCAAATTCGACCGTCTTCATCTCCGACAGTCTTGCCGCCCGAGGCCGTTGGATCTCATGGGTCAAATCCGCTAATGCCATTCCGTACGCTGAGAGAATCGAAGAGTACCGGTGGATCACAACCCGCTGGATGCCCAGTGCCTCGGCAACATCGCAGGCATGCTGGCCTCCAGCCCCGCCGAAGGTGGCCAAGACATGTTCTGAGGTCCGTATGCCTCTTCCCTCGGTCAATGATCGAATCGGCCTGCTCATGCTCTCATTCGCCACGCGCAGGAAGCCACTCGCGACTTCTTCGGGAGTGAATGACTTTCCCTCCTCCGCGTTGATTTTGTCGGTCAACCTCTTGAAAGCATACGCTGTTGCATCATAGTCCAGAGGCTCATTCTCTTCAGGGCCAAAGATTGCCGGGAAGTATTCGGGGCGAAGTCGTCCCAGGAATAGGTTGGCATCGGTGACCGTAAGAGGACCACCTTTTCGGTAACATACAGGCCCAGGATGCGCCCCCGCAGACTGCCACTTGTCAGTTATCTCATCTTTAGAGCAAGGATGGGGCTGCTCACATCCGGACCAATCGCGAACAGACCGTTCTTCCAATGCAGTATCGACCCTCCACCAGCAGCAACAGTGTTGATGTCGAGCTGCGGAGTCTGCAGGGTCACCTCTGCAGTCTCGGTCTCGAAGACATGGTCGTGTGTACCCGAGAAGCGACTGACGTCTGTCGAAGTTCCTCCCATATCGAAGCCGATGACAGGCATCTTGTCGTCAGGGTCGTAGCACGAGCGCGCAAAGCCAATCACCCCTCCTGCAGGGCCAGAAAGAATAGCTCGCAGACCAGAAAAGTTCTGCCACAGGCACAGACCACCATCGCTTTGCATGAACAAAAGCTTGCCAGCTACAGCGTCCATTCCGCCCTTGAAGCCGCTGCCGAAGTTCTTGACATAACGCCGGATGAGAGGCGAAAGATATGCATCAGCGGTGGCAGAGTTCCCTCTAGAAACCATTTTTATCTGATGTGAGTTAGCGGCTGTTATCTCCAGAGCACAGCTGGGAATAGGCTCACTGTAGGCTGAAGCTCCGATGAAACGGAGACCTCGAAGCCCATAGACCGAGCAAGTTCGGCAACTTGGTCCTCGTGGTTGGGGTAAAGGTAGGAGTGAATGAAGCATATGGCCAAGCTGTTAAATCCTTCGGTTTGAAGATGTCTCAATTGCTCTCTGATGACTTCAATATCGGGTCTCTTCAAGATCCTGACTGCTTCGCCTGTCAAGCCTTCGACCAGGGCGTCATCGCTGTTGATGTCTATGGGTTCCTTTTCGGGATTCTCGAGAAACTCCTCCATCGTGACGCGCTCATCAATTTCGACCACGGTGTCGTACAGATTCTGAAGCTTGTGTATGCTCAAGTCAAAAATATGAGGCCTCGCTTGGTTGCCAATGACAAGTAGGTCGCGAAACCCCCTCGTGGTCAGGAACGCGACTCGTTCGCCTTGGCGTTCGAGCAGTGCATTCGTCGCAATAGTAGTGCCCATCCGAATTGATTCAACATCTGTGATATCTAACGGCTCGTCGCGAGGAAGTGGCTTTCCTCTGAAGTGTGACAGTACACGCCGAATCCCTTCCGTCGGAGCGTCATTGTAATTACGTGGGTCGACCGATAACAGCTTGAAGACACTCTCTGGCTCAGAAGAGCCGGGAATGTAGGCATGTACATCTGTAAACGTACCGCCACGATCTTTAGAGATGGGTTAGTGCCCATTTTCCTACACTACAGTAGCCAATCTGGGAACTTACCAATGGCGATTCGGATCTTCTTTTGACCGTATCCAAGTGAACCCATCTTAGCGCTTGAATCGGCGACATAAGCTCAATTTCCTTGAACCAAACGTTCAAGTCGATGAATCTCATCAGCATACAACTTGGTGCCTTTATTGCACGTGTCGGCGTTGGCAAACCGACCGCCGGAGGGCCCCACAATCGCCGAGTTCGCTCTCGGAGCCCGGCCCCGATGCGCTGCGTTCCGATATGGGGAGATCAGATACGAGCAAAAAGACTGAGTGCACCAAATTGGGGCCGAGGAGCGGGAAGCCAACCCGAAGCAGCTGAGATAAGCCCCGAGACGTAGCATCAAGATCCCCTCATCTCGGGCAAGGATACTCGGTATTTTCGGTTACAACCAACCGTCTCGGTAAGCTGGCCCGTTATCGCAACAGGTGCGAAAGGCGTTGGGAATGTCTTCCACAAACCATCGAGCTTATCAGATCGTTCATCTCTTCAATCAACCTTCTCCACATTAATTTCGTTGTGAGATCGTCATGAGGTAGCTTTCTCCTTGGCGGCTCGGGAACGCGATGCGAAGATGTCAATGCATCTTTGGTCTCCGAAATTGAGGGTTAAGATGATTGTTACGGGATTGAAGCACCATCTTTGGATTGAGCGTTGGAAAACAATAACTTCTGGACAGACTGTCGTGTAACTCAGATTTCCTTTTCCATCATTCCCAAGTTTCTGTTCATAAATCAAGCAGCTATTATTGACATTTTGAGGCATGTTGAAATCGGACCAAGATATGCCTTTGGAGGGTGAAAGCAATATAAAGTCGGCCGACAAGCAAGGTTTTATTGAGCACAACGCAGGGTCCTCTCCCTTTCAGATCGACCGAGTTGAGGAGGCGAAAGTTGTAAAGAAGATCGATCTTGCGATTACCCCGATTTTGTTTGTTGTCTATCTTTCATGCTTCATTGACAGATCAAACATTGGTACGTACAGACGTCATCAGTGTCACTTATAGTATGTAATCTCACTTACCTCCTCTTAGGCAATGTAAAAGTTGCAGGTCTTCTTGATGACATTGGCGCAACAGAGCAACAATTTTCGACTGCCGTATCTCTCTTCTTCGTCACTTACGTCCCGGTCGAGGTCCCTGCCGTTATCCTCGTCAAGCGCTTCGAACCACGATTCGTCTTGACCATCCTTTGTATCATCTGGTCGGTCACTACAATTGCTAATGGCCTTATAAAGAACATCGGTGGGTTATATGCCTGTCGGCTTGTCCTCGGAGCTTGCGAGGGAGGCCTGTTTCCGTCTCTCAACATGTACCTCACAATGGTCTATAAACGAGACGAGCTGGCCAAGCGTACATCCTATCTTGTCTCATGCACAGCAATATCTGGCGCTTTTGGTGGGCTACTTGCCTATGGCTTGCTACAAATGGATGGTGTCGGAGGATACGCAGGCTGGAGATGGGTCTACATTGTCGAAGGAGCTTTCAGCATTCTTTGCGCCTTCGCAGTGTGGTTTGGTCTTCCCAGTGACATTCGAAAGGCGTATTTTCTCAACGAAAACGAACGTCAACTCATGGAAGTACGTCATCAGGAGCGTCTGGACTACATGGGAAGCGAGGAGCTCGATTGGCAGGAGATCAAACTTGCGTTCTTGGACGCAAAGACTTGGCTATCGTAGGTAAACTTCGAGTGCCTGGGGCTGTTCAAGTCGGTACTAACAAGAATTTAGTGCTTGGACCCAGTTCTGCCAAAACATTCTCACCAACGGCTTTGGAACATTTTTGCCCTCAATCCTTCGAGCCATGGGACATGGCACACTGGCGGCGAATTACTTGACTATTCCAGTCTACTGTCTAGGAGCTTTGGCGTTCTTTACCTTCGCTTTCCTATCTGACAAGTATGGGAAATGCGGTTTCGTGAGTAACATGGTTCGCGTCAACTCGAATAGTGCTGATCAATGATTCAGTTTTTGTTCGGCACGAACATCCTGGGCGCCGTCGGCTACGCGATTCTGATCGGTGTCAGTAACAATGCCGTCAAGTACTTCGCCTGCTTCGTATGCACTATTGCTGTTTACAATGGAACTGGCCTCAATCTTGCCTGGCTCAATGTCAACATGGCCCCGCAGTGTAAATATTCCACATTAATGCTGAGTTCGGCGAGCTGACAGAAGATGTCAAGATCGACGAGCCACTGCCATTGGCATCCAGCAGACTATCGGAAACTCGGCCGGAGCGGTTGCAGGACAGATATACAGGAGCTCCCCTTACTTGCTCGGCAATAGCTTCTCCCTTGGCGCCATCTTCGTCGCGGAATGTCTAGTCATGACTCATTGGTTCTACCTGAGAAAACTAGAAAAGGAGAAGAGAGCGATCTTGTCTAGTGAAATGGAAGACCTTCGAGAAAAGAGAACCGGGGATCGAGATCTAAACTTCAGATATCGTCTCTGAGTCTCCAATCACCTAGGGTGCCGCAACCAGAGTTGAGATGCACTAAACTCAATTTCCAAAGCTCAATGCGCCGAATATATGTATCGTTATTATCATCGACGTTGTCGTCGTCGTCGTCTTTGTTGTTGTCATCTTCGTTATCGTCGTCGTTATCGTTGTTGTCATTATTGATATCATTATTATCATTGTCGCTGCTACTATCGTTAGCCCTTATATTATAACTATCAATCTTTCTCCTATTAAGGTAACCCTTAATAAAATGGGGGTATCAAATACGCAGGATTCAGCCGCCAAGCTACGGGGAAAACAGGCGGCCTCGTCGTTTCAACACTAAGTCGCATTGCGTCATAGGAACCCCGCCATAAATTCCATAAGCTCGCTATCCAAGAGCGGTAAGATGCTATGTGGTAGCTCGTTGTACTCAGTACTGATTTCTGTGAGTGGACGAGGCGAACCAGCTTTTCCTTTCAACCCCGTCTTGTCACCGTATACTTCACATGATGATGTAATCGTCGTCGGATAGCTCGGTGTTATACCACGACTTAGTCGACGACTTGAATCTGGCTTCCGGACCTGAAGAATACCGCTGGGCTCTCCGGTGCGTCACTTTACTGGCTGGATGTAATACTGACGACGTTCGCTGTACTCTGAGGAAGTTCACGTTGGGTCAGTGCAATGGGAAGTATGAGGCGCTGTCGTACACTTGGGGTGATCCGAACGACAGGACTCGGATCTTTCTTGACGATCAGCCCTTCAGCGTAACAGCAAACCTCGAAAGCGCGCTGCGTTGCCTTCGCCTGCCAGACACAGACCGAGTGTTGTGGACGGATTCGATTTACATCAATCAGAACAATGTTTCAGAAGTCAACATCCAGGTTCAAAGAATGTGGGCCATCTACAAATATTCTTCGAGGGTAGTCGTTTTTCTCGGAAGGGAAACAAAAGCCACAACAAGCATTGCTGGGCTACTCAAGAGACTAACCGCAGATGTTTCGCCAAAAGACTATCAAGCTATCACTTCACTTCTTCAAGACAAATCTGAAGCAATCTCATGGAAAGCTTTGGACAAACTCATGAAACGGCCCTGGTGGAGCAGAGCATGGATCGTCCAGGAATTCGCTGTGAATCGAGAGGTTGTCTTCATCTGCGGGACAATTGAGATTCCCGAAAGCATTTTTGGAAGTGTACTTGAAATCCTGGTCGACTACAGATTCAACGCCATCGTGCCCAAGCCGCTACAGTACTTCGTCCGGCAAATAGCTTCAACACCCATAAGTCATCTATGGACTGTCAGAAGGGCGTATCAAAAACATGGGTTGGACGAACGAATGCGAGATCCGGCAAATATGCTGTACCGGTTCCGTGGCTTCAAATCTTTTGATCCCCGGGATAAGGTGTACAGCCTTTTTCGCCTCATGGGCGAGGACGCTGACCTGAAACCAGATTACAATAAGCCAGTGCAAGAACTTTACAAAGACGTAGTGCGGGTCTCGATCAAGACGTCTGATACTCTTTAGGTTCTGTGCCATCACAATCGAACCATCCCAGGTATACGTGGCTAGCCAACATGGTGTCCTGACTGGACCGTCATGCGGGGGCGGAGAATACTTTTGTGGCCAAATGGGTATTCTGTAGGGGGTACTGGCACAGCATCTCCTCGATGCGATGGCAACAAGTTGTACCTTAAGGGGAAACTCTTGAGCAGGGTTCAGTGGCTGAGGGCCTTTGATTCCAGTATCTTCTCCGACAATTCCACTGTCTTTCGCCACATTGAAGCAATCGAGGCTGAAATATTGAGGCAGTCGGAGGCTTGTTCCGCGACCGAAGAGAAACCCTGGCCATTGCTTGACGCCTTTCACGCAACGCTTGTGGGATCTCGGATAAGGAAGAAAGGACCATCTCAGAGGAGCACAGCTCTGAGCCCATCTGACGCCGATAAGCTTTGGCATGCCTGGTACGAACACATGAGCAACCGCCCTTCGAATGAGTTACGCGGAGATGCAAAGTTATACAACGACGCATTGTACAGCGCGCTCTGCGGTCGGTCTTTCATCTTGACTGAGGACAAGCACTTTGGTTTGGCGGATATACCAATTCAGATCGGTGATTTGGCAGGGGCATTTCTGGGCAGTAGCGTTCTTTTTGCCGTGCGCCAGAAGACTCAGAGCGAGTTAACAAAAAATGAAACACACTTCGAATTGGTGGGCGAATGGTAATGAAGATTCATTCCCTCACATGACTGATTGCTGACTTCCAGAACCTAGCTACTTGCATGGTTTTATGCATGGTGAAGCTTTCAAAGATGTGGAACCATCATCTGAGCTGTGTTTTGTTTAGGTGGAGTTTACGCCCCGGACGGGAGGAAACTATGAGCGTACTTGAAGCTTTCCTCCTTTACGCTGAATGCCAATCTATTCATGTTGTCTGTTGATTGACGAGGAGAAAGTTTCCGGCCAAAAGATCATGGTTCAAGAAATGAGATTTAACTTGTGGCAATACAGTGAATGCGCTTACGAACATTCTCTAACGTGCCTACCAGTCTTCCGAAAGGCGGTTTGACACATTGCGATATCTCATAAGATGAACCGATTCGTAGTGCATCATGAACACAGTGAAATGACCACTTTCACTCAATCTGCCTGTGGTCAAACTGGACTGTTTCCTTCATCAACGACCGGGGCATTCATGATACCTTCATCGCCGATAATGTGTGACGTTTGCCTCAAGCTTGCGGACATTGCGAACCACGACCACCTCGCCCACGTATCCCATCCTGTCCAATCACTAAACAACAGAGACACTATTTCACAACCCGGTACAGCTTTGAGATGGGTTAAGAATGCAATGAAATATTTGCCTCACGCCCCGAAGTCAACGACGGTGCATCAACGCGCACCCAGTAGTCTATCTCTGCAGACTGTGCCACGATGGAACTCTGCAAAACATATCAAGCATCGCGTCTCACCATCGCTCGTATGTATCATTCCACGTGTATTCAGCCCGTCAAGCCGCGAGACTCGCAGCTCTTAACATCGTGAACCAAGCCTCTGTGATTGAGTATGGATTCAGAAGAGCGCAACCACGCAATCGAATCTAGCCGAATCTGGCCAGATCTCTCGGAAGTTAGGTGCCTCAGATTCCTGAGATGCAAATGCGGTGCATTTCGTCGCGAGAAGTCAAAATGAAAATGCTGTTGAATAGCAATCCTGGAGACCATCCAACAGTAAGCGCACTCTTTTAAAAGTTAACATCGCCTCGGGAGGGGTTAAAATCGCAGTGAAATAAGCTGCAATTAGTGCGCGCACCACACAGCAAGGCAACCGCTAGTGATGGTTTGCCAGTCTCCCCATCAGCCAATACTCAAGCCCAGAAGACGAAGTATCTTCTGCGCGCTTTTGTGTATACCGAGGTGCAATTGCACACTAGAAGTGTGTCAACGTCACGGCCGAAGTCGATGGTATCAATTTCTTACACTTTTCGATGAAGAAATCTACTCCAAGTCACTGGACTCGACTTGTCGACAAAGCGAGACGCACCATCCAACTAAGCCGTTGAGCCAGTCTTTCGAGATGCAAGGGGGCAAACTGTAACAGTGAAGGGTCCGCCTTTCAACCGACCGGCACCTGATTATTCAATGCCAACCCCCTCGTTAGACGCTCTATTGACACGAAAAATTGCGAAACAGGACACTTTCCACCTCTACATGGAGCTCTCAACTCGACGTCGCGTCCGACTTCAGGCCTCAACCACCGTCAAAACATAGCTCATAGCACAAATCCGCGCTCACGAGCGCGCAATTGCGCATTCGACTCTAATTGGCTCCACGACAGTTGATAGCACACGAGCCAACATGTCCGAATGCTGCCTCATTCTGTAACAATTAATGTACTACGTGGGAATTACTCAGCCGTCTAATCGGATACACATTTTACGGCGGAGCTTTGCTAGATGATATCGCGTCGGGGTGGGTTAAAAATGCAGTGAATAAGAACTTTTTGCCTAACGAGAACAAATGCGAACCACCCGACGACAAAACAGTCCGCCCATCATCCCCGTGAGGCTCTGCACTCAACACCAAAACACGCATCATCCTCTCACCAAGCCACACCCATCTTCCCACCCGTCGCCCAACGCCAACCATACCTACCTACCTACCCCGCTGCACAATCCCGCATCTCCAAAGAGCGCATCTGCGCGCCCCCAAAAAGCCAAGCCCGCCATCCCATTGGCCCCTCGTCCCAAAATGCTGACCGCAGCCTGCCTCGCGGGGTCTCGGACGCCTCATCAGACGGGGCAGCCCAGCAGTAGGCAACCTGCCTCCCTCTCGCGAAGGCCTGCATGAGTTGCCTACCTCGTGCCGTGCTATCTGAAGGTGGTGTGTAGTGTGCAACCCGCAGCTCGCAGCTCGCAGCCACAAACAAAACAACACACTCTCAAATCACGAATGGCCAGATAGTCCAACACGCACAATTGTGCGTCCACGAAATCATACCCTCTCATAGACACAGCAAAACACACCAAGAACCAAATAGAGAGAAACTCGGCCTCCGGCGCTGCGCCGCTGCAGCATGCACCCTGCAGATGCGGCTCGGAGCGGGGCCTGTAGACCACCACACCACCCACCACCCACCACCCACCACTTCACTCCAACTCTCAGGCCGTCTTCATTCGCAAGCCGTCCGCGTGTCTTACACCACACACACTCCAAATTGATATT